TTTCTTGTTCCCATTTAACCAAAGATCCCCATGAACATCCATTACACAAAACCACCCACCCACACACAATGAGAGAGATTGTGGGGCTTGTGGGTCTTTAGCAGTTTGGAAGGAGTACAAATGCAAATATGCAGAGTTGAAAACCTTGTATTTTGTACTATTTTGTATGTATTTGCACTCTACATATTTGTATTTGTACTCCTTCCAAACTGAACCTTAGTTTATTTTTTTGTGCTCCTCTACTACACCTTCTTGCACCTAGAGAACCAAAAAATCACAGTTAATTTATTCCTTGGATTCGATAAGTCCCATATCGGGAAACTACTGGGATTCAGTCACTGCAAGGCCCATTCAAACAACCATCCTATTGCATTGGGAATATCTCCCCATGAAATAAAACATAAAAGTACAGAAATATTCCCAATGCAAGGCTGAAAAGGCTGTTCGAACAGTGTTCTAGCGGACCTTGCAGTGACTGAAGCCGATCTCGTTAAGGTCAGAAATGTCATTTTGTGCTTACATTTAGGAAAACTATAACCATGAATAAATATGTTTAGGATGGCAACGGGGCGGGGCACCCCTCTCTGTCCCCGCCCCTTAGCCAAAATCCCTTACCCCATTCCGGCCCAGTTCCTGTGGTGGGGTGGGTTCAGGGTGGAGCACTTCTTTATCGGGGACGGGGAATTCCTAAATTTTTTTCGTTCTGATTCAACATTTAAAAATATATCATATTTGGGATATTTTGAAAATTATATTATGGTAATTTAGGAGTATTTTAATTATTGGATTATGGAAATTTAAGGGTATTTTAAACATTACATTATTGGATCCTAAAGGTTTTAGGAATTTGGAAAAATTTAAAGATATTTTAAAAATTAATATTAAATCTAGGCATATTTTAATAATTTATCACCGGGTTCGGAACAGGTTCGGAGAATTATATGTAAAACCCATCCCCACCTTGTCCCCAATTCAGGGCAATAATATTTTCCCATCCTCGCCTCGGCCCCATTTAAGATCGGGGAAAATCCGCCCAATTCATAGTGGGGCGGGGTAGGGCGGAACTCTAGTTTTACGGGAAAGTTGCCATCCCTAAATATGATTGCAAATTACGAGGGATTTCTTAGTAAAATGCAAACTAAAGGAGATATCTTAATAATTAGATAAAACCATAGGGGTATCTAAGTAAATGACCCATAAATAAATCAAGTATTTCGAAAAATCAAATGTCGAACAAAAATCAACTCGACAATATTCAGCACTGACATGAACAAGCATATCAACATAATCAAGATCAGAACCCAGTAGTTTTCCATTTATCTAAATGAAAGCTTTACTTTGCAAATATTACAAGAAACAATGTCGCAAGTTTTACCTTTACAAGTAAAACGCAATAATGTGATTATTACATTTCAAACTCACAAGTAAAATGCAATAATGTGATTATTACATTTCAACCTCACGTTGCCACCAGATTTTGACCTAAATTTACCCTTACCTAGCATTTAAAAAGCATTTAAAAAAATTGAAGTGTTTGCAAATTGCAAGCAACATAATTGCTTATGGAGCACTTTGTCAGCCACCAGTTTTTGACCTAATCTTCCCCTTACCTAGTGCTTAATGTGTTGACAAGGAAGTGGTTTAAGTTATGTTTAGATACTTTTAAACAATGTGGCAAAGTTTTACCTTTACTAGTACTATAAGAAACAAGCAATAATGTCATTGTTAGCATTTCCTGCCTGATATTGCCATTAGATTTTCAACTAAGACTGTGTTTGGTTTGAAGGAAAAAGTAGGGAAAGAAGGGAAAAGTAGAGAAACCTTTATAAACCTTGTATAGTTTTTCCTGGGTCCGGATGTATTAGGCACGTTAGGTAAGTACAATGAATGAGCACGTAATAGCTGTGTGACACATGTTCTAGTTAATGCGCCTTTCATCCAAAGGTTTTTACTCCGTTAGACAGAATCTATCTATTATTTTATTATTTTTGTCAAAATAATTAAAAATAAAAAACAATAAAAAAGGAAAACATAAATGAGTCCCAACTCCCAACACGTTTAGGTTTTCGTTTTTTATTGTTTTTATTTTCAATTATTTTGACAAAAATAATAAAATAATGGATAATTTCTAACGAAACAAAAACGTTTGGATGAAAAACACACTAATTGGGACATATGTCACACAGCTATTTTTTATGTAAATTGGAAAATTTGAACTAGTTCATAAAGTAGAATATATATGGCATGTGTGAAGAATATGTATATAGATATCAAGAAGGATGATATGGGGTTGAATGTAATGGACCTATTATATTTAATGCATACTTGAGGTTTTCTCTTTATAAAAAAATGTATTTGCGAAGAAGCATTTAGGTTGTATTTGGATAGGTTGTAGTCTGCAACCAGTTTAGACATTTTGTTAAGAACTATTTGTCTTGCCATCTAGACATGATTTCTTGAGCACCTAAACCAATTGAAAATTGTTTTGAGGGCATCGATATATGATTGTTTATTGCAAGAGTACCCCTAGCATGTCATATCAAGCATTTAGAAATAATGTTTGGTTTCAACGGAATGAAGAAGAAAAGAAAACAATGGCATTTGGGTTTTTCATTTTCTTGTACGAACAGAAAATAAAATTGATCCGACAAAGTGGTCATCCATGTTTTTCCAAGGGAAAGGGTAAGAATTAATTTTTCATTTTTATTTTATTTTGATTAAATTTGTTCAAATGGGTGTTAGGGTCAAAATTGTCATTTTCTACTCATGTCTAATGGAAGGTTGATTAAGTAAGTCAATTGCAAACTATAGGGTAAATCCATGAAACTACAAGAGTTTGGTATGGCCAGGATTTAATGAAGGAAGACTCACAAAGAACAACCAACAACAGTAATACCGAACCTCTGATTTTGCAACATAATAAGGCTAGGGTTAAAAGTCGGGCCGGGTTAGGTCGGGTTGAGGTCAATCCTAGACCAATCCTAAGATCTAAATCCCAACCCTAATCCTAACCTTAACTAAATTCCTTCAACCCTAACCCAATCCGACCAATCCAACCCTAACCCTAACCCTAATTAAATTCCTTCAACCCTAACCCAACCCAACCCGAAGTCAATTTCAGGTTGGGTTGGGCTGGGCCCAACCCTCTTCCCACCCCTTAAAACCTCATAGAATTTCTCAATTTTAGATCTTAACTTTCAGTATATATATTAATCCTATGTTTCATTAGTATTTGTTTGTTGACGCTTTTTTTTTTTTTTGTTCTTTTGGTACAAAATTCAGAAAAACAAGTGTTAGAAATGATTATAGTTTATTATGAGTTATGACTTATGATAGATCTTTCTTAGGTGGAAAACAACATAGAGGAGATGAAGAATAAAATTGTCAAAAAACATAAAATAATATTATTAAGGTTTTAGTCTTTTTCATTAGGGTTAAAGGAAGTGATTATCTTAAAAAAAATACATGATACTATGTGGTGAGCGCTATACAAATATCATGCATCTAAACAAATCATTGTATGTTATATGTTACATATAACATATATTTATATATGACATGTTCTATGGTGTTGGATTCGCGTTGGGTCGAGTTAGTTAAGGGGTCAATTTTGACCTAATCCGAAGTAAAGTCGGGTTCATGAATTTCAACGCTAACCCTAACCTGACCAATCCCAAGTTGCAGCCAAATCACTCTTAACCTCTTAAGAGTGCTTTGGCTTCAAATTATAATGTTAACTTACCAAATGCTCAAAAAACTTTTTTGTCTCAATTGTACTTTTCATAACTCTTATCTCAAATATAATAGGGTCCCGTTTGGTGCATCTTTCTGTACAGGCTATCGGCTGTTTAAAAACCTGGCAGTTCGTGTTTTGGTCTTTTCTCGTTTGGTTGAGAAAAGATCTAGCTGCTAAAAGATGTTATTTCTAAAACATGTCATCTCGAAAAGATGTGCAAAGCTTGTTTTGGGCTATTTTCGACTTTTTTATCACATCTTTGTGCAGAAAGACGTGCGGGAAGACACGCCTTAACCAAACGGTCTTCAGGCTTCTAAGATCTTAATGCAAAAGTTCACATCGTCTTTTATTGCCAACTTTACCGAAAGACCTATGATAAAAAACTTGCCCAACGACACTTAAAGCAGCCTTAGTTATCTTTAAAAAACAAGCAACAAAATACAAATAGTTGCATCCTAATTTTTCAATGACAATTTGATCCATTTAATTCCAATTTTGTGGTTTAATTAGTGATTTATCTTATTACTTTTGTCCATAAAAAATATCACATTAAATATCAATCTCCTAAACTAAATTATAAATATATATTATATTTGAATAACATGTGCGCCAAAACCCAAAAGTACCAAGTCCCATGTTTAGTTTTGTACTTCTAGTTTAAAACTCTTTAGACTTCAAATTGATGTATTCTTAAAACAATTCTTACCAAACGCCTAAAACACCTTTTGATTCTATTTTGTTTTCCACAACTACAGCTCAGAAGCAAAAGTTATGCTTTTGAAATTTGGTTTCCTCCTATTAACTATGAGTCTATGACGCTATGTGGGTTTCAGATTCTGACTTATGGTAGAGTAGATTGTGGATCCACATTAACCAGAGTCTAAATTCTAGGATGTAATTATTAAAACAACTCAAACAGTTATCACACAGCTCTCGTGGGATGGCTTGTTTTAGCAACTTGGTACGTTACAAGTAGAATATTTTGTATATTGAGTAGCAAAAGAAAAAGCAACTTAGATTTGTATAGAAGTTCTCTTGCATTAAAAAAAAATTAAGTATACAAGTTTGGGGTTGAAAGAACATGTATACAGCAATGCCATTCATGAAGCTAGAATACTTACGGGTCCCACCGTGTCTATAGCGCCTTTGTGACTTAAGTGCAGTTGAGAATATGAGATGCTGCCTGCAAGGATTCTTTGTATTAGAGAGAAATAAATATAACTGAAAATTTTAAAAATAGAAAAAGGAAAAAAGGAGAAAGGGAGAGCGGAGCCCTCTGTCTTCCTTGATTCTCTGTCCACCACCCCCTATAACATGGCGAGAGCCTAGAAGTCTCACACCAAAATAACTTAATAGAAGTCCTCTTTCTTCTTTCTGTTTCCCACAATTCAAACGCAGGAAGAAGACCAGGACTCGGTCCAAGCCTCCAAGGCCACCATCTCTTATTCCGCCTTTCTATCTTCTCTGACTTCCCTCTCTCTCTCTCTCTCTCTCTCTCTCTCTCTCTCTCTCTCTCTCTCTCTCTATGTTCTTGACTTTTTGTCCTTCGTGGTAGTTTCTTCTCCCTCTGGAGGTTTCCGTCGTCGTTGTTTCTACTCAATGGTGTCCATTCTTTCGTTGATTGGGGGCAGAAACTCAAGCTTGCTCATAGAATTATTCTTTAAATCGGGGTTTCGTTTCTCTGTTCTTGCTAGTAGGTCCTCCTGATCTCGAAAACTATGCTTTTGTGGTGTTTTTGTTTTTCTTAATTTCCCCACCCCTTTTTTCGCTTCTTGTCGGAAGTACGTTATTAATGCGTTAATGCCGGTTGTTTCAGGTAACATATAGAAATTTAAGCTTTTAATCGAAGTGGGTTTCTGGGGTTCTTTGATTCTGAGGAGTATTTTGGTTGATTATGGTTGAGCTTTTATGCTCTATTTGTCTCTTCCCTTAGGGTTTGTTTATTTCTGCTAATTCGTGTTTCCGGTGTCTGCCTATCAGCAAATTTTGTTGTTATGGTTTCGATGTCTTGAAGTTTGATTTTGACGGTCGATCTCTGATGGGTTATCGTTTATGGGGTACTATGTTCTTGAAAAGTTGAATTTTTGGGACTTGTGTGTTTATCTTTTTTTTCTCTATATATCCTGTTATATGCTTCTTCATTATGCCCTTCTTTTTTAGCCGTTTATGTTCTTAATGGATTTTGCTGCATGGGCTGTTATTTTTTTTATCCTTTTTTCTCTCTAACCTTGAAATTTAAATTTTGATCGGTGATCTTCTGTGGGTCTTTCTTTAATTGTAAATTTTGATCCTTTTCGAAAATTTTAAATTTTTAGTTGTTCTCTGCATTACTCTGTCCATCTCCAAGCTTCTTTTCGTCTCAACTCCTTTTGTTCCCTCTTTCCATTCTTTTTATTATTCTTTTTTTATTTGAAAATTTGTATGATTTTTGGCCTTTTTGATTGGTACAGACTAGAACCGTTACACGCTTGACGAGACGTTTCCCTGCGCTCTCGTCGGTGGGAGGACTAGGATTTGATTTGCAAATTTATTACGGTTGAAGAAATATCACACATGTTACCCTTCAACAGAAACAGAAATCAGCCAAGGACCAGCAGATCTTGGTCTCTTTCAGGTGGGTGGGTTTCTTTGTCAATCGCTGGAGGACCCTCGTATATTTTAGAAGACCTGGTTTTTTGCACATTAATTTAATTTCTGATCGTTTATTCATTATAAATTACTTTCTGTTACAGTCGAACAACGAGAGAGAGAGAGAGAGAGAGGTGGGATAAAAAACTTAGAAGCTCGTCAAAAAAATAAAATAAAATGTGTAAAAGGAAAAAAGAAGGAAAAAGCGAAGCTTATTCAAGTAACGGTGAAATGATGCAAATCACATATTTGTTATTTCTATATATACAAATATAGAACAAATTAAGATATGGAAGTATTGAGATGGCTGCAAATAAATTTGTTAAAGGTAGAGGTGATCTTAGTGGAGAATGACTGCTAAACTGGGATATGAACAAGTGGATTTATAATTTGGGTATTGAATTGAAATTCTGATTTCTGCAGCAGAGCCTTAGCCAGGAGGTTTCTGTAACCAAAGGATAAACAATACTGCTGTTGGTTAGTATTTGGTTGTCTATATGGAATTCCTATTGATTAATTTTTCCTGTTGTTCATGCAGGCATGGATTATGCAGATTCAAAACGGAAGAGCAACTTTGTTGGCAAGGTTCTTTTGCTTGCTATTCTCACAGCCCTATGCATTATTATGCTGAAGCAGTCACCTGGATTTAGTAGCCCGAGCCCGGTAAGTTCCTCATAGAATGCAATATGACATTTGCCTTTCCCAGAAAAAGTTGGTATTCAATACACCAACTTTCTCCTGATTTGCATGTGCAAAGCTGGTGTTGAATACACATTTCTTGATTTGCATTACCAAAGTAAAAGGAAATATATAGAGTTGAATAGAACAAATTATATTCATATGCTTTTCCCCCCAGTTGATGCCTCCTGTATGGACCCATATGGATCAAAACCTCACAATTTCATGATTATGAGAAAGAACTATCACATCACCACCAATCTAGTTTTCCTCTGGAGCTAAAATATCTGTTCCAATTGTTACTTTACTGCTTATAGTAATAGGATCATTTTCTTGGTAAAACTTTGGCCTAAAATATCAAGCATGAAAGCGGTTTTACTTGGCTTTTTTTTTGTTTACGTTTACCCACATGCATAGTTACCTAGGTTGATATTAAAATTGCATGGTTCTTCCATCACCATATGAGATGTTCATCTACATCTAGTACTACCCAACTACTCAACAACTTCTTTGTAGAGTGTTAGAAAAATTTCCTTGATTGAATTCATTAAATTGTTTCCTTTTACTTGTTTCCACTTTGCTATCCCTCTCTAACAGTATTCTTTTTTCTCTTTTCTTTTCTCCAGTTCTCCCGTCATGAACCAGGGATGACACATGTCTTAGTAACTGGAGGTGCTGGCTATATTGGTTCACATGCTGCACTTAGACTTCTGAAGGATTCATACCGTGTCACCATAGTGGTATTTATCATTCTGAACTATGAGTTTCCTCTTTATTGTTCGTTTCAAATGATTGAGATTTAAGTACCAGAAAAAACAATGTAAAAATATAAAATGTTGTGTGTATCTTTTAATTCTGACAGGACAACCTCTCCCGGGGAAACATTGGTGCAATTAAGGTCCTTCAGGAGAAGTTTCCAGAACCTGGGAGACTTCAGTTCATTTATGCTGATTTGGGCGATGTGAAAGCTGTATCCTACTTTTACAGTCATTGGGTGCTTTTTTTCTCTAACTTAGCTTTTAATCTTTTGAAAGTTTTTACCTTAATTGATATATTTCAGGTACACAAAATATTTGCAGAAAATGCATTTGATGCTGTGATGCATTTTGCAGCTGTTGCTTATGTTGGGGAAAGCACACTTGATCCTCTCAGGTGTGGGTTATTCTTATTTAAACTGGACCCTTTTAAACATCAGTTGATCTTGAGAAAGATTGGTATATTCTAATAACCAACTTCCTTAGAGTGCAGAAAATTTTACTTAGTACCTTGGGTTAGTTAATTAGTAGAACTGTAGAAATCTCTGCATTAATTTGCAGGATTTAGTAACTATTAACTCAATTCTGACAGTTGGGTTGCTAAGTTGATGAGAAACTTTTTTCCCCATCTGAGACTACAAACTTCTTTATTTATTTGAAAATTTGATAAGAATTTTTCTTGAAGTGACTTTTCTTGGAAGAAAAGAATCATAAATGTCAATTTATATGTCTGAATAGAAAAAATAAAGCATTTAGATTTTTCCCCTTAACTTCTTAAACATTGGTAGAACTGTAGAGGAAACTTCTGTTCTAAGATTTATGTTCCAGATTTTAAGCCTGTTCAGGTGGCTGTCTTTTTTATTTTGAAGTCTTGAAAGTTCATAGTCATGTTTGGTTTGTTTAGAGCTAAACTACAAGAAGCTATATTTGGAGAGGTGTGATGAATTTGTCAATGTGTCGATCTATTTATATATCAAACATAAAGACTTTCTACTTGGTCATGGATGCTTTGTCTGAGTATGAGAAACTAGAATTAACATTTACAAGTACTATCCATTTAATTCAGAGCAATTTTTCTCAGTTTTGTTAGATGTGTCCCTTAAGTATGCAATCCTGTAGAGGATCAAGAATCTTTAGATTTTTTTCCCTTTTTGATCAGCAAGAATCAGTTAATAATTTCCATATCTTTAGTAAACTCTGCTCTTCAAACTAATGCTATAATTGTTTCTATTATCACATAGATGTGTCTACACATGATTTTGACACCATTTAGTGGGGTTTACAGCACTAAGTTCTCTGATCATTAATACACAAGCTTGGAGGATGGAGAAAGATGAATTTCCCTGATTAAGTAAACTTTCTCAGAATACCCATTTAATCTAGGGCAATTTAGGATGCATTTGGCATGCTTTCAGAGAGTTAGTTTTGATTACTTTGTCATTCTAAGAATCATTTTTATTTTGGGGGGGAGGGGGTCAAAAGTCATTCTAAGAACTCCCTTATTGGAATTAAAAAAATAGCTTAAAAAAAGAATCAATTTTTACTCGAATTTCATTCTTAAAATGGTGATTCTGCGAAGCAGAGCTTTTATTCAATTTGACCAGATGGATCTGAAAGGCATGCAAACCTGTAGCAGAACCAAGAATGTCTAGCTGATTTGAAATCCAAGGATTTTCCAAATGGCATAATTAATTCTCTAGTATTATAATGTATGTATCTTTAACTCAGAAGTTGGGATTCATTTTAGCTTCCTAACTTGCTTTGCATTCTTGTGTATCATTGCAGCTCTAATGGGATATTAACCATTTTCTACCTCGTTGTGAAAGCCCCCTAAAATTTTAGTGTTTTCAAAAGATTAAACAACTTTATTTTACTATTTATAGTGAAAAAGTGAAAAATACCCTGTCTTTTTTTTTTTTTTGTAATGACACCTTCCTCTGCGTTGCAGATATTATCACAATATTACATCAAATACCTTGGTAGTATTGGAGGCAATGGCTGCACATGGTGTGAAGACACTAATCTACTCAAGTACATGTGCAACATATGGAGAGCCTGAAAGGATGCCTATTACAGAAGCAACTCATCAGGTTATAGCTTAAAGCTACATTGTATTTGTTGACAATGATTTAGGGATGCACACTATTTTCCTTTATTTGTAAATGCTACAGAAATAGAGAAAAAGTGGCTGTTACAAGTTCTTCTATCTGTTTTACATTCATTGTGACATGACAAATGACCATGATGCACAAATACAGGCCCCAATTAACCCATATGGAAAAGCCAAGAAGATGGCAGAAGATATCATTCTCGATTTCTCAAAGAATTCAGACATGGCTGTCATGATCTTAAGGTTGGTGTGTGTATGTATGTGTTGTTCATTTGGGTTGTTTTTATTCTTGATGAAGTTAATTTGTCTGTATCTGTCCATCTTATTTGATCTTGGGATGGTACATTGTTCCGGGAATTCATATAGATCCCATTACACCCCATACCTTAATTCCTGAATCCTGACCAACCATTAAAAGTCCAATGGAAACACTGGTCCTCTGCTGCTTTTTCAAGCTTTTTGAAAGGTATAGTTCAATGGTTTAAATGGTTTTGGTTTCTTATAGCTAGTGTCAGTACGGTGTGGTAGCGCCAAGGCTTATTCTGTCTTCTCTTAGTCTGAGCAAGTTATGTTTCCATCCTTTTAGGCATTGGTGTTCTGGGTAACTTAAGTTAAAAAGCTTTACGAAATCCTCCTAGTGAACATAGACAAAATGGGTAGCTAAAGTTAAAGTATGCTAATAATCCACATAATCAAATATGACAAACCTACTAAGCTTTGTATCCATATCTCTAAAGAGTAGAACTAGTTGAACCAATAGTTGCAAGACTAATTTCCCTCTATGAAAAACTTCCAGATATTTCAATGTGATTGGTTCAGATCCAGAGGGAAGGCTAGGGGAAGCTCCCAGACCTGAATTGCGTGAGCATGGACGGATATCAGGTGCTTGCTTTGATGCAGCAATGGGGATAATTCCTGGGTTGAAGGTTTGCTGCTGATCGTTTTCCTTTCACTGTTTTTTCTGCTTGTAAAAGAATCTGCAGATTATGCAACATAAGAAAAATGACCAAGTTTCTTTTATTTATGTGCATGATATTTGTTACTGACTTTTAGTTGGCATTTTCATTAGGTCAAAGGAACAGATTATAAGACACCTGATGGCACTTGCATAAGAGACTACATTGATGTCACAGACTTAGTTGATGCTCATGTGAAGGCTCTTGTGAAGGCAACCCCTGGAAAAGTTGGTATTTACAATGTTGGCACAGGAAAAGGTAGTGAATTCAACGTAGATAAGATGGCAAATTGCAAATACATCTGTTTATTTGAGGAATGCAGGCATTTTGGATGGAATAGTGTTCTTGTTGAAATTTCTAAAGCTTTTCTGTATCTTGTAAACAGGTAGATCAGTCAAGGAATTTGTGGAGGCATGTAAGAAGGCGACAGGTGTGGACATCAAAGTTGAATATCTCAGCCGCCGGCCTGGAGATTATGCTGAAGTTTACAGTGATCCATCCAAGATACTGCATGAGTTAAACTGGACAGCACAGTACACCAATCTTCAAGAGAGTTTGCAGATTGCATGGAGATGGCAGCAGTCACATCGTAATGGATATGGGCCCCCCTTGGCTATGTCCTCTTGATAGATCATTCCACATTGTAATTTGTAACAGAAGATTCAGATAGGTGCGGCTGTGGCATTGAGCTCCCACATTTATTTCTTATTGACCTTTTCCTTGATATGCAAAGGGGAGGTTTTGGGTATTCATTTTGGAGATAAATCAGCGTAGGAGCAAGCCCATTTGTTATATTAATGAGAACAGAGAAAGTTGAATAATAATGCATCCAGCCCATATAGCTCCTTATACTAACCCTTCTCATTATTGCAGAAGTCTTTTCTGACAACAATTATATTTGGACTCGTCGCTGTTCTTGCTTGTAACATGGAAAAGAAGCCTCCATTTTATGGTAATCTAGATGTTACTGAAAGATCTCCATGGGTGATCTGAATTTTCGAACAGTAACCTCTCTCTCTCTCACTCACTCTCTCTCTCTCTCTATATATATATCATTTTTTAAGCCAGAAAGACGATTTCATTGTAATCATCAAAAACTTGTACTTTGTTTCTCTCTGAAAATGGGGGGAAAAAAGGTGGAGAGAGGAGTTCAAATGGGGGAAAACAGTAACCACCAGGTCCACTAAGGTTATAGAGATATGAGAGAATTCCCTGATAAGACTTCTGCAAGTGGCTAAAGTCTGATAAATGATCGACAGAGAGGAGTTCAAATCAGCCCCCATAACGTCCCACGGCACATCCCCGCCGTGTATAGGAAACATCTGATGAGAAAATCAGAAATGATGATGTATCAGGAGATGTTCCCGATGTGCTGTAGAACATTGCGGAGCGGAGGGCAATCTTGTTGGGGCTGATTTGATCTCGACGCAGAGGAATTAATTAGCCCTTATACAGCTTAATTGTTTTTTGGTTTTCTCGTTCAATGCACACGTGATTAATCCCAAGAGATTTGGCCAATAGCAATCCTTTAAATGCTACTGCGTCGCGATCTGAGAAGAAGATGAATGGCACCTTTTGCACAAGCAGTAATGAAATCACCCGCATGATTCACGATGACAATGCCTATTTCCCGCACTAGTAGACTTTAAGGCATCATAAATATTGCTGTTAAGCCCGACTCCGGATTTTCTGCTCATGAGAACTCTGCTCACGACTATTCATAACACTATCCCATGAATTGGGAACACCTCCCCTTCATAATACTATACAGGAGGATTAGATGTTTTTTATGTGTAGCTATGATGTTATGTGGGTAGACGTGGGCAAAGTTTGTGTGGGCAGGAGATCCGGACTCAGCCCAACTCCCCCTGGTTTTTGCCAATTATGGGACACAACCGATCTTGTGAGAGGGCTGGGAGAGGGGTTAGGGAGAGGGGTATGCTAGTTTGTGCACAAGATATGACCAACACTTTCTCTGGGAGGAACTCTTAATAAAAAATTTTCTTACATCTGGTTTTTCAAATACACCATAGTATAATAACCCCATTATTGAAAACAGTACTGTCGACAGTACCCAAATCCGAGTCCATGTTTTGCCATTCCTTTAATTCACATAAACGTCTATCAGGCTCAGTTTGGAACAAGGTTCAAAATATCATCACGTATCGGCCAATACATATTGTATCGGAGCCTTTCCAATATACTCCTATGGGGGATATTTCGGATCGGCAAGTGGTTCAGGGGGTAGACGGGCCTTAGACCGGCCCCTCTAAACCAGATTCAGAAAAAAGAAACAGTACTGATACAGGCCGACACGCCCTATTGGCATATCGCCCTGTATTGATATTTTGAACCATAGTTTGGAAGCCAAAAATGGCTTTGACAGGTGGACACCAAAAAGAGATGCTGTAAGCTTTCATTGTCCACTCCACACAGTGGACAGGTGAGGTCAACCTTAGTGCTTCGTTTTGCAAGCTCCAATGCCATCGGAAGCACCCCATTGAGGCATCTCCATAATAAGAAAAAACCCGAGGTGGCAAATTAAAGTGTTTCCACTAGGATTTCCACCACAAACCTAGGTCATATTCAGTGCACATGGATGGGCCTGGAGAGTCAGCCCACAGACACTTATAACCTGAATTTACAGTATATCCGGGGTTGAGTTTGCATGCTAATACATCCTTCATAATGAGTTAGGATTTAGTCCCCACAGCACTTGCAGCTGTGCAATGGGACCATCTCCATGTATATTTTTATTCATGAAAAGGTGTTCCCAATGCACGGCAGAAAGGGTTGAGGATGGTGTGAGGACTGAATCTGGATTCTTTCATGGTTGCGCTGGCTTCTGGAAATGCCACTTGGGAAGATACCAGAGGCTATAGGCTCTGGGAAATGGGCACGGACAACATCAGATTTAATTTCCATTGCATGGTTTGATGATCGATAAAATTTGCATCTCTGCCGTTTGGGAATGTAACATTTAGTTTTTGTCATGAGAAGAAGTGGGGGAACGAAGGTTCAGATATCATAATGTCCCATCCATCCCCATCGACCCAATGAGCATCTTAATAACAGATTTGTAGATGAACATATATGATGTAGTATGGGATTTGGCTCAATTGAATAAACATTTACTAAGTTAGTTTTCGAGACCCATCTTAGTTTTTATTTATCAAATTAGCATCATTACAACATTCTTTAATCTATCTTGATTCACATTTATCAAATTAGCATGTAAACGGGATTTCCAAATTTGTCTTCAATTAGGTCTTTCTTTTTTGAACTGATTTAGTAGGATTCTAATAAGGAGTGTTCAAATTAAATAAACTTTCTTGTAGGAGGTACAAGGGTGTAAAAGAAAGTCTATGAAAGGAGAAGAGTATTGCTAGAAGAAGTGGTTTTGTTGATTTTCTCTTAATTATTCGGTGAATTTATTCTTCCTATTTTCGACTTTAGTTCTTTTCTTTGAAACCTCTTTGAATGTGATTTGTTTCCTAACTATGTCAGTCGGTATCAAAGTTAAAAAGATATTAAGTGTCTGAAATCTGAAAAGGGGCATAAATGCTTTTCTACTTTTTAGAGGCTCTGAATAGACAAGCTTGTTTGTATTGGACCAAACTTTTAACATGTGAAATTTCCTGATTTTATTATTTTACCCCTAGAATAGAGTATTTGGTAATTTTGAGCTCAACTTATACTATTTCATATAAAATAATTTATCAACTTCAAAATAATATTTAATAATTAATTAAAATAATAATTAAATATAAATAAAAAAAGAATAATTAATAATTAATAAAAACACAAATAAAAATTAATAATAAATAAAAATAACTAATATTTAAAAATAATAATAAATAATAATAAAAAATTATAATTGATAAACATAATTAGTAATTAATAAAAATAACTAATAATTAACAAAAATAATTAATAGTTAATAAAAATAACTAATACTTATTAATTAATAAAAAACATAATTAATAAATAATAAATATAATTATTAATTATTAAAAATAGCTAATAAATAATAAAAAATACAAGTAAAAATTAATAAAAATAATTAATAACTATGAATTCTACTTGAAAATTTGAAAATAAATTATTAAAAAATAAAATAATGTTGAAAATACCAATAAATGCCACGAGTGCATAATGGTAATTAGCAAAATAATATTTGAAAAGGTTTCAAAAAATTATATCATTCCCAAAGTAAAGTACCTACACATTTGTGTGTCATACATATAATTATCCTACCTGTTTCATAACTACCCCTATGCAACCACCACAACAATAATAAACAAAAAAAATAGAACTACAATAATAACAAACTAGATAACATTGCATGTAAGAGATGCATGCGACATCCAAGTGCCATATCTTCCTCAAGCGGTTGTGATATTCAGGGTTTCTACAAGCCATGAAGTGGGTTGATTAAACTCCCTGAGCTCTGCCACAAGGTTGGCAATCAGTTCATTAGCCCAATAAAAAGAGTGTGTATGCTTTTCCCATAGTGGGCAACACAAGAAAATTCTTCCCCGATTTTCATCTGTCACAGCTTTGTAAAGTTCCATATAGGCAACCCCGCATGCACACATGATTGGAGAACGCCTAACAACCATTTTCCCTACATTATTCACGTACATAACTATAATGGTACACTACAAACAATCAAGTAGTTCTAATAATAGTTCAAGTACACAACTATGATTAAAAACAAATAGTTCAATGCATGTTCCTATCTACTAATTCTTGTGCAATTTCCTCTCACAATGAAGCCATAAACTATGCATCAGCTTGCCCATGAGGAGTCTCTCCATCATCATGCCCTTCTGTCTCTACTTTTACATTTTCATTAGGCACTTGCATATCAGGATCACTATAGTCACTGAAAAGGGAATCAACTATTGATTCCCTTCTTAGATAGTTGTGGATAGCAAAGCATGCAATGACTATGTCTCGTTGGAATGGAGATTGAAAGGTGCCATCCTTTTAAAAATTGGAAACCAAGCTTTCATGACACCAAATGATCTCTCAATTACATTTCTCAGCTTTGCATATGCTTGGTTAAATTGTTCTTCTTTAGTCCTAGCACTCACATGTCAAAAGTTTGTTGCTGCCCACTATCATGCATTTTGATAGGGTGCCCTAAACTGTCTTGTATTAGCGTATGCAACATCGCATAGGTAGTACTTGTCTATGTCAATCAAATTTATCTATCAAAAAATGAATTTACCAAAAAATAATGAACACCCCTAGAACATCATTCTTACCAAAAGGTGGACATACATGAACACCATGTTAAAATCACAAACTGCTAGCACATTTTGGAAACATTTTTTCCCTCATCTTCCTCGATATTTCAGTTGTTTCTCCAGTGGTACCACAACATGAACAAGTGTGCCATCTAAAGCACCAACAACACCCTTCAACAACAAATGAAAACAAACAAATAAAACTCATTTTCATCTCAACCCCTATCCTAATAAAAATTATGAAACCTATGTGATTTTGTCGATTAGTTACCTTGAATACTTATCATAATCATTTGTAGTGCCCTAGGATGTTTGGGTTTGGGTCAAATGTAGTTGGATAGATCATCTCTTGTGCAAATTCCATCATAGCAGCTAACACTTGATGGAAGTATCTATGCATTGTTTGAGTGGAGTTCTGGAACCGTCTCTTTAGAATAGAGAACCTTTCATTATGGCTTAAATACAAGAGAAACATAGCCATCTTTTCCTCCACTAAGATGTATCGACTATCGTGCAACCATCCACGATTTCGAAAATGGTCACATATCTATAAATATGCTTCAACAAGCATCCTCAAAACCTCGATGGTTTGGGTATCATTTCCATTTAATAGCTC